TGAAACTTAGCTCTCTGGCAGGTAAACCTATTCAGCAGAAAGTATGGCAAAACAAAATACAATTTTTAAAAAATCTCACAGGGTGTGCGAGGGTGTACACACATGCCCCTGAATGGTATCACATTGATTACTTTTTATGGGCTTCAATTTCCCTGGGGGGATAATAAGGCATCTGATGTACTTCAATCCAACTGTTTACCCTGGAAGGAGTTATAATGGTATTGTACAGTATATTATGACTCCAGTCAGACACAAAACATACTGCTCTGGCAGTGGATGTAAATATAATTAGGGGGTTTAGTGTAAATGAGAATAAGGACCATACTGTTTTAAACATCTGCTGACTAGGAACTATGATATCAGTCGAGCTAAGCTATGCTGTGGGTTAGAGGGAAGGGCCACACACGTCCTATTAGATGCTTAAGGATGTGTCCTATTTTTCTGAGGCATCAGTTTAATAATAGAGGCTCTTAAAGCACTTGACAAACATTAATTATGCCTTACACATTACTGCTGTAAGTGACACACATCTGGTTAACCAGGGTAATCTGGTGAAGGAAAAGTCACAGTTTCTATTCCCTTGAGCAATGTTTACTGGCACCCTGGCTCCTGCCCTAGTCACATCACCACACGTACCCTCATTCATTCTTCCCATTTAGGCTGTGTCAGGTTAAAACATGATTGTACCTGATGTTCTAACTGTTTCTGCCGCCTCCTGTCTCTTTCCTCAATTTGTGCAGGATCCAAGAGAGCTGTCATTGACCGTAGAAAACTATGAAGAGAATCATTTACATGTTTTTCCATTAAAAAAAAATTCCAGAGTTTTATTTAATCTGAAATATCAACAAGATTTAAATGTAAGACTTGTGTCAAAATATGTACCTTTCATTCATTGTCATAGGTTTGCACTATAATAAATACAGTAACTCCTCACTTAACGTCATCCCGGTTAACGCTGTTTTGTTGTTACGTTGCTGATCTATTAGAGAACATGCTCATTTAAAGTTGCACAATGCTCCCTTATAACGTTGTTTGGAGGCTGCCTGCTTTGTCCATTGCTTGCAGGAGGAGCAGCCCGTTGGAGCTAGCTGGTGGGGGCTTGGAACCAGAGTGGGGCGGCAGCCCCCCTATCAGCTCCCCTAAGTTCCCTGTGCAGCAGCCGCCCAGCAGGCTATCAAATGCCGGTCAGTTCAGGTGTCCCTCCCCCAACTGCCATGTGCTGCTCCTGCCCTCTGCCTTGGAGCTGCTCCCGGGAGCCTCCTGCTTGCTGTGGTGGGGGTGGGAAGAGGGGTGCTGATGTCAGGGTGTCACCCTCCCCCCACTCCTGTACCCCATCTCCACAGAGCAAGGAGAGGACACCAAAGGGCTCAGGATGGAAGGAGCTTGCTGGCAACAGCTGCTGTCTCAACTTGCTGATCTACTTAAAAAGGCAGTGTACTTAGAGTGGGGTCAGCGTACTTAAAGGGGCAATACCTCACACACACACACACTCTCTCTCTCTCTCTCTGCGTGTGTGTCTGTCTCACACGCACATGCACCCCAAGGACTTTGGAAAGCGGAGGGAGTGGTGCACTCCAGTGGGATAGCGTAGGTTCATCATCACATTCAGTTTCCGCAGGAAATGTTTGCAGACACTGCCATGCATCTATTGTCTCCTTCTTCCATTCATGCTGCCTTGTAGAGCGTGAGGCTACATTAACAATAATGTGTTAACCCTTCAGGGCTTAGCTGAGCGCTAGTTCATCATTTAGCAGCAAGGCATTCCCTGGGAAATATCCCACTCTCGTCCACTCTGACTCCACCACCTCAACCAAGCTTCACAATCATCATTGCTGTGTACAGAATTAAATTGTTTGTTTAAAACTTATACTGTGTGTAAGTCTTTTGTCTGGTGAAAAAAATTTCCCTGGAACCTAACCTCCCCATTTACATTAATTCTTATGGGGAAACTGGATTTGCTTAACATTGTTTTGCTTAAAGTAGCATTTTTCAGGAACATATCTACAACATTAAATAAGGAGTTACTGTAATGAAATTGAACATAAGAATGTTTATTTCCAGTAAATTTTATTAGTGAATAACTGAAATACATTTCTTTTTCAGTAGGGAACCATACAAATTCCTGAAGAGAGGAGTAAATACCAAATTCAGAGACTTATTAACTTCTAAAGACATTCCAGAAATGAATTGATTGGGAAGACTACTGTAATTGAGACATGCACTCACCTGGCTTTTTGACTTTGTTCCGAAGTAGGGTTCTCAACAGTTTTTTCTACATTCTCCACCTTTGAATGTATGAGATGGCCTAAAGCTGCAGGTGTAAAAGGATGAATAACAGCAGTCAGGGCCTGAGATTCGGGGGACAGGCAAAGAATTTCAGGCTGCTTGGTGTATGTTCCATTTATGGGGTGTTGTGGATTAGCACGAGGGTAGTTCTTTAAAGAATCAAAATGCACTGCCCATCTCTCATGCTCCTCAGCCTAAACAGATATGAAGCAATAAAGAAAATGGAAATACACTCAGTTACACTGTCATATAAAGTACTTTTAACTAAATATTTTGATAAAAGCTAAACAGCAGGATTTGCGTTTTTAAAGCTCTATTATGGTGCTGTGCCACATAGAGTAGTTAATTCTAGAAATAGGAAAACTGGTTCATATGAAAGTGACCTGACCTGAAGCAGACCAAAATTAAAACCAGATCTTTTTGGTGAAAAATCACTTACAATGCATTTCTACTTGCAATGGCAAGACTCAAAAACTAGCAAGTGAAAAAGTTAAATTTGTCAAGAATCTTTCAGTCTTGTATAAAATAAGTTAATACTAGTACAGGGTTTTCCATACAGCTTTCTTTGCAACCTTATCTTGATGTATATTATTTTTCATGCTGTCAATTAGTCCTACAAGCTGCTCAGTTGATTGGTTACCATCCTAGTCACTCATCCATGCAGCTTTGTCTGGCTCCCCAGATATTCTCTAGCAGCATGAATGAGGAGCAGCAGCAAGTTCTTTTGGGTGACAGAAAGCTTTTCTTAAACATTTTTTGTGGGCACATATCAGAACAAGTATTCGTATTCTTTCTCACCAGCCCACATCCATCCCCCTGCACTTTCATTCTGGGACAGCAGTCGGCATGCTAGGTGCAGGGATCCTCACTACTATGAATTCTCTTCCGTCCCCCCAATTTTTCAGCCAGGCAGTAGAGCCTGCTCAGAAACACTGCATCAACAACAAGAGGTGTTCCATGTATGAAGCCTTTTCACGGAGCGTCTTTCAGTCTCCTCCACAAACATGCACTTTAACAAATCACAAAGATCCTGGCCATAGGCATTGGTACATTGTTCATTGTGCTGTCTGAGGTTTTTGAGGAGGAGGTATCTTGTTTCCCTCCCACATAACCACCTAGAGATTTTATTTTTTTTGGCCCTAGTCTGTCAAAAGGGCATTCTGACATGACACCCACACAAGCCAAAGGAACCAAGGTTTCCCCTGTGGATCCTCTCTACCATGGGTGTATATATACAGTTTTCGCATTTGACTCTCCTAACTTCCAGAAGGAATTGCCTTTTTGGAAGGATTGGGGGAATGTTCCCTTAGTATTTGCCTTCTGAAGAAAAGAAACTAGCACATCCCATATAAAATCTTGCACGGGGTCAAGCATAAATCCTCTTCTCTGGCAGAAAAAGTTTTAGTCCTATATTAGAGAGCCAAGAGAAGCAAGGAGTCCAGGAAAAAAAGGAAATTTGAAAAAATGTTTTCAATCCTCCTCCCACTCTTCTTTGAGTTTCTTGTCCCCTAAGGGAGGTAAGCTGTCTGACTCAGATGAAGAGCTACAGTAGGGTATTTGGGGAAAGAATTTTTCTTCTATAAGTCTTTTGGTGTAATGTACAGAAGGACTACAGAAATAACACACACATGAGCTGACTTAGAATGGACTCTTTGTTCCCTTTACTGTCAAAGTACTAGAATGCTATTTCTGCCGTTACTGGCTGGCTGTTTAGCTAGAGCTCTCTGAATGTCATAAAGACTTGGGGTAAACTCCTGGTCCTAGTGAAGTAAATGGGAATTTTACCACTGAGTTTGAATGGACCAAGATTTCACTTTTGATTTTTCAGAGGTACTTGGTGCCCACAACTCCTACCAAAATCAATAGGAGTTGTGGATGCTTATTGTCAGGCTTTCAGAGTTGGTGTGATCTACAGTTTGTTGATAGACTTCCACTTCAGCAGAATTGAAAGAGAAAGTTAAAAAACAGACCTTTTCTTATTCCAAATCACCCCTCTAAATTACAGCTACCTTTGATAAATTATGTTTTTCCTCTATTTTTCGTAGCTTAGCCTCTTCCTTTTGTTTGTCCAGATCTAGAAGCCACTTCTTCTGTTGTTCTCGTTTCATGGCACTAAAGGGGTGCTCCACTGGTGTAGCTTCCTGAAATGACACAGATACTAGTCTTTTACCTGCCGCAGAGTAACTGCCTGCCTCCCCTCAGCCCCCATTTCTCATTTTTAAGTAGTACTGCCATTCATAAATACCTGCATTACTTCACATACTGCTGTTCTATCTGGCGTTAAATAACAGACTTCATTTTCAATACTATCTGGCCCAAATTAATTGTCCCATCAAGGTCTTCATAACGTGCACTATAAAATGCAGCTGATGATAAACTCTCTATTCATCTTTATTTCTATTGATATCTTCAGCAATAGTTAATTTCTACGTTTGCTAGATTTTATTTAACCTCCTAATTTTCCTTCGTTTTTGTATTACGAGCTACATACAGGGATTGGCTCACGAATCAAGTACTTTCCTTGATGTCAATCCTATTAACATCAGCTCTAAAAATATCTACTAAAAATGCAGGATTTCACAGAAACACCTTATAACATCAATATCCTTGTAAACAGTGGATTCAAATGAAGCAATAAAAATGATAGGGGGAAAAAAGTTTGGAACAGGCTTGCTTAATGCAGATACACATCCACAATAGTAAATTCTTCTTAAAGACAAGATACTGCATGCAACTTAGTCTTACCCCTAACACAAATGCTGTACGAATGGCAGCTGGCAAGTCAGGAGAACTGAAATTAGATGATTGTCCAGTTGGTCCACTTGAAACACTGGGTGCAACTTCACTAGCCTCTGTGACCAAAGTGGTTCTAAAAATGTGGTTTTCCTCAGTAGCAATGCTCAAATCAGCTGGAAATGTCATCTGCAAATAATAGTGTCTTGGTGATTTAAAATACTCAATTTAATTTTTTTGGGTTGATTCTTTCAATATAAACACATTTTTAAAAGTATTTTTAAATAAACTGTACTTTAGGTTTGTACAAGCTGCAGTTCATAGAAACTTCTACCAAAATATGTAATGTACATGCAGTTACCACTGTCCAACAATCAGAAAAAAAAAGTCAAATAAATCCCAATTCTTAGGGTCCAAGATGGACAACTTTCAAAGGATTCTGAATGCTACATAGGAAAGCAATAGCCTGCTTATGCCATAATGCTGATAGATGCTACAATCTGGAGAATTCTGCTTGGCAGGGTCCAATGAAATGGATAGAATGAAACCCAGTCCACCCTGGTTATGTTCCCAAGAGGATGCCATTATCACTTATTTATCAGGTTGCAATTATATTTTTAAACCTCCAAAAAAGTCATGCTTCCTAAGTCAAGACATATTAGGTACCAAATCCTTGGATAAGATTAAGGTAGAGTGACTGAATTTGTTTTCCTTTCTATTAGTAGAGGATCCATCCCACTCAGACTAAATATTGGTTTAGATATGTAGATTCTTATAGTTGAACTTGTCTTTAATCTAATTGGTTCTACATACTGTACTTGCACAAGAAGGCAAATGTGTTAAACACCAAAATTAATGAACAACCTAAGTATTGCTTGACTGATCATAACTATACTGTTTTATTCTTCTCAAACCACAGAACAATGAAAGAGGAAAAAGTCAACAAATTAAGAATAAAGGTTAATAAGAAACACCAGAATGAACGAAGTACAGAGGTAGGAATTAAATGATAGTTACAGTATGAACAAAGTCGCAAATTATAGGCAAAGTATGAGGCTAAGAGGCTGATTTCACTTGACAAGAAGCTCTACATAGGGTTTCTGTGGCAACACTGAGGGGGTCTAATGCAAGACAGACCAGAGAGAGTGGACGTGGGACCACTGGGGCCACTTCCCCCCACCCCACCTCCACCCACACAATAAGGGCTTCATATAGAGTCCTTCAGGACTCTGTTAGGACATACAAAGATCTCTGTTACCGTTTTTCTATTAGGGAGAAGAAAAGGAATCTACATGTGCACAGCCTATTAACATGACCTGTGTGCTGGGATTTATCCCTAAATGCAGATTTTACAAGTAATCAGTGGATACACATTGAAAACAAACTCTTACAGAGCAATTTTGAAGTACGAACAAAATATAGCACTATAAAAAAACTAAAATCAATTTGTTCTCTAAGATACACATTGCTTTTATTGAATGGTTCCTTGCTAGCCTTACTTTAGCTTGATTAACTGGCTTCAGTTTTTCCAAATGGGTTTTATCACCATCGCCATCCGTTTTCTCCCAATGGTAGTATTTCGTCTGTCGCTCCAAAGTTTCTTTTAATTTCTTCTTTAAAGCTATCTGTTCATCTTTAAAACAATTTTTTTTAGAATAAGTAAATATAAATAACTGCAATTTCAAAAAAAAATATGCAATCTAGTAATATAAAAAATATAGTGTAAGCCACTTAAGACGGTAATTGGGCTTTGCCTGATTAGTCTTTCTAACCAGATGTTTGTTCTAAGTGTTGAAAGGCTCTGCCTATGAGAAATATGGCTGCAGAGGATGTGGAAACAGGAGGCAACTGGGAAATCTTTATTGGGAGAGGTTAAAACTGTGATGGACTATCAGTGACTCAGGAAAATATTTATCAAAAATATTGCATCTGTTGCTTAAGAAATAGCAGAGGTCCTGAATTCTCATTTCATTGTTAGTTTTGTGCCAGTATGACTATACTGAAACCAAGTAAGTTACACCAGGTTAGAATTGGTGTATCATGCAGGATCAAACCCAGAAATATGGTGGGAGATTTTGGAGGGGTTTTTGTCCGGACAGTTTACATCCCGGTTAAACAAAATCTGCTCTATAGGAATTAATGGCTTCATTATTCCATTAGGAATTTCCAGTAATCTTAGATGATCTTATTCTCCTGAAAACATTGATTCAAAGACAAATATCAACAGTTATGTTTAAAAAAAGCTTACACCACAATGGTGTTCAGAATTTGGATGCCAGGAATGAGTATAAATTCCTAGAAGTCTATTTAAAATGGGGGAAGGGACCAAATTCATATCCCTTTCTACAGCTTTCCCTCTCCTTACCAAAACAGTATTTGCTTTCTACCTGCCGACTCTGCAGCAGTAGTTGAAACCTGTGGATCAGTGCTATGCTGCGCCCCTTAGAGCCAGCTAGGCTGCAGCAAAAGAGCCAAAGGGCAGGCATCAGGCCTCAGGAAAATATCTGCAGCACGGAGAGCCTCAGTGCTGTTATTGCTGGAGGTCCACATCCAAGAAGCATTCTCCAGATAGGACCAGACTAGGGGAGGAAGGAGGTGTGTTAAGAACAAGGGGAGGAATGATTGTGATGGACCAGTGCCCTGATCATTCTCTGACCATGCCAGGGCCCACAAAAGCTACTGCAACAGGAATGAAAGTTATGTAGAATGCCTTAGCCTGCTCCAAGGGCTCCACTAGCCTTGTATATGCTGCATAGGGAAGACAAGTCATAAGCTGACTCCTGTCAATTCCTGGCCTGGTGTAGGCACCAGTGCAAGGATGAATATATCTTAATCTACATGCATGTAAATTCTGTCTGAAACAAAACAAGGAAAGATTTAAAAAATAAAAAGCTATTTTAGCCAAGTCTAATTAGAAGCTCAAGCAAATGTTTTTTACAAACAGAAAAAACACAAAATGATAGAGAATATTTAAAATGCTTTTAAACTTTAGTCCTATCAATTGATTTAAACCTTTATAACTAGAAAAAAATTGAAGCTTTGTCTATATTAAGTGACCAATGCTACAACATAATACCTTAATATAAATATGGCAAATTATATTTTAATGTATACCTAGTTCCTTCTTCCACTGGGACTTCTTTGCATCTAACAAAATTTTATCCTCTTCTCTTTCACCTAGGGTACTAAACATGTCAGCTGGTTTCCATGAATTCTTACTGAAGAAAAAAACAAAATTAATTTATTTTTAAAAGTCAAGGTGCCTAATTTTAAATTAGCTATTAATTTACATTGGAACTACTCAGGTTCCATTTCATTACTAATGTACTAATATTAAAAGTTTAATATAGGATACAAGAATAAAAAAAAATATTTTGAATTATTAATTAACAGATCTACATACATAACTTTCTGTTCAGTCTGCTCAGAAGCTGCTTGTTTTCTGCCTGAGGCATAATTATTTTCATTTGAAACAGATGAAACTTCATCAGCTTTTTGGAGTAATCCCATAATGTTCTCCTCTTGTGGGGCCTGATTAGCAGCAGTGCTACTATCAGAGTTTTTGTTTTGGCCTACAAAGTAAAATGTACATGTTAATAAATATGGCACTAGATTGTCACTCCACATTGTATACAATAGTTTATATGAACAGTAGAACCTGGCTAATTCAAATTAGTGGAAGCTCACGTGAACACTAGAACTACTAAGTACCGCACCTCAGAAGGGGTGCACATACAGGGGAGTGACATTAAGCAATGGAAGCACTTCCCCTGAGTACTGGTGAGGTATTATGTCTCCTTGAGGTATAATGATTTCTAGACCTCCTGCTGGCCTGGTGCAATGCCACATAACTTCAACACAGTGCAATGCCTAACATGATTCAATTCTGCACTAATTGTTGATGGAGTTGCTTGCAATTTTGCTTTCCAAGAGTCTACTTAGAATATTCTTAAGTAACCTAGTTATTTTAAGGGCACAAACGCTGGTAAATGTGTTTGCAGTAAGATGTTATCTTGTGCACCAGGGAATGTTAATCGGAAGGATGGCACTACGGTTAAGAAATTGGACTAGTAGAACTGAGGAGACCTTGGTTCAGTTGTCCTACAAATTACTTTGTGACTTTGGGCAAGTCCCTTAATCCTTCTGTGACTGTTCTGCAACTATAAAGCAAGGATAAATATTGCTTCCTTTCTCCCAAACCCTTTTTTTCTTTCTGAAACTGTAAGTTATTTGGGATAGGAACTGTTTATTAATATGTATATGAACAACATCTATTAGAATGGCCCTTATCTTGGCTGGGACCTCACAGTGCTACTGTGATACGCATAATACTAATAACAAGGTGTCATTAAAATTATCTGAAAACTACTCTTAACATGCCCGGAGACTCTAAACTTGTGTATCAAAAGAGGGTCAAAATCTTTAAGTTGTACCTCTTTCAAAAACAAACTTCTTTTAAGAAGTGTCTCAATAGGGTACAGTCTTCAGACATGGAACACTAACTCTTTTCAACCCATTTATTTAGGCCCAGGTTATACCCATTTCATAATGTAATAAGTAAAGAAACTAAAATCAATGGTGGATGCTGTTTTTAGGGAAAACAGATGAAAGATGTCTGTTCTTGCAGAGGCACACAGGGGATTAAACAACTTCCAATAGCTTTAAAAGCAGTTACACCTCTACCCTAATATAATGCGGCCCGATATAACATGAATTCAGATATAACACGGTAAAGCAGCGCACCGGGGGGGCAGGGCTGCACACTCCGGCAGATCACAGCAACTTCGATATAAGGCGGTTTACCTATAATGCGGTAAGATTTTTTGGCTCCCCAGGACAGCGTTATATTGGGGTAGAGGTGTATCTCCATCACTCTTCCTTGCTCTAATCACAAAAGTAGACTTTTAAAAAAATAATCATTTTTAGAAAACATAGAATACATAAAGTGTTTGGGTGCTTTTTTTCCCCAGAAATATAGGCAAGAGTATTAGGATAAAAATAAAATACCTTAAATGTACAAAAATATTGAAGACAATATTTAAAATAGAAAATAAAGCAGTATGCGACAATAGTTGGTTTGAACTGATTTGCCAGCTGCTCCATTTCACAGCTAAACCAAACCTAGAATTTTTTACATATCATTGCTTAACATAATCAAGAGTTCCTAATGACATATTTGAAAATATTGACCCAGATCTGAGATTGATTTCAATTAGAGCTATAGTTATGATAGTATTGGTAGCTAAACTACAATCCCATATGTAACAATTCAGTGTGAAATATAGATACTGTGTTCATTCCAAAAAGGAATTAAAAAAAACTTGGCTTTTATATTTCCTCTGATAAACTGTTAGACCAATTTTTTCATAATCTCAATCTTAACATACATTTTGTAAAAGCAACTATGGCTACAAAATTAAGGAGCTGATCCTGCAGCAATCCACAGTTGGAACTTTAGGGGAAGTTCGGCACACAAAGGGCTTATAGGATCAGGACCTAAATTTGAGAGATGAGATCCTCTTGCGTGCGCACACACTCACCCATCCCCCACATGCAGGTTAAGAATAACTTTCATTGGCATTAATGGAAATTATTCATATCCTGCATGGTCAAACTGGACTTATGACTTCCAAGTATAATTCTGATTAATGGAGCAGGTACTCAGGAAATGTCTGAAACAAGAAAATTGATTTCCTCTTCCTCTCGGTGATATGTAATCAATTTTTACCAATAGTCTTAATATTATCTAATGTTTTCTACAGGACTAAGGGAAAATCAGTTTGTTCTGGCTAATCAATATGATTGTTTCACTCACAGATTCTGTCACAGTCTCACACATGGATAGGCTATATGAACCTTTTCTCTCAGTAAAATAAGAATAGATCCTAAAGTGATGGTATTACTTCCTTGTGGGAAGACTGTCAGTGTCAAATCTAGCTTTATTTTAAAATAATCCAGGTCACCTACATCACTAGTTGGAACCAGGAACAAGATCATAGCAACTGAAATGAGCTGGTGGCCTCAGTTTAGTTTCTAATGAACTGGTGGCCTCATCACTGAACATAATCATATTTGGCATGTTAGTTAAGACTTTCAACAGACACACTTAGGGCCAAATGCTGGCATAAACTGGTGTTGCTCTAGTGAAGCCAACAGAGCTGCACCTTCATTATATGTTCCAGTATGTACTATGATATTACACCCATCACACAATCTCCTGGAGCATGAAACTGGCTTTGGGGTGGAATAAGTCAGGTCTTTTTAACTGGGCACACAGACTTCCAAATATTTCTCTCTCTCTCACTCACACACATGAAAAAGAAAATCTTCAAATGTATGCAACTGTCAAAGGCCCAGACCCCACAAACACTCACTTAATGCAGCATCTTAATGAATTCAGTAGTGGATCAGATCAGCTCCTTGTGCAAAAGGTTAAATGGATGTACATTTGCAAGATCAAGGCCGAATACAGCACTTACCTCTGCTCACCCTCCCAAACAAGTCTGCTCCAAAACAGTTCTATGTTGGATCCTCTGGGAGGGAGGATTTAATCCCTACTCACTTGTGATCTTTTCCTGTTTACTTTCTTTAAGTAATGTGCTTGAGAGAGAATTTTCAATTATGTATTTTAGGATCATGTCTAAATACTGTATTCCACGTCTAGAGATAGCCTCTTGTTTAGAGGAACAACTTGTAAATCTTTATACATTTAGATAAAACAGACCCGAGAGAAATTAGTTTCCCAACAAAACACAAGTATCTGACTGAGTCTTTACATAACTGAAGACTATATATATCAGAAGATAATTTTAACAAGTGTGTAAATTCACAGTAATAACTTAGAGATGGCTTTGTAGTTTTTAATTTATAATGGAAAATGTTCCTTTTAAAAATAAATTAAAATATTTTCTTTTTACTCAAAAAGTGCCTTTGACATTTAATAAATACGAAATAACTTTTGTTTTAAAACTGTACATTTAATTATTGAGCAGACTCCCTGAAATTTAAATCCAAAGTTAAAGCATTTCATTTTTATTTCAAAAATCTGCTATTAATTTCCATAATACAAACCTTCTAAAAGCTACCAGTAAGAGTAAATTTCATTTTTGCTGCAGGATATATATCTTACTTGTTTCTTCTTGCTTTTCCTCCTGGGCCTGGGATTCAATTTTGGTTCCTTGTTTTACAGTCATCAGAATCTGTTCAAGTTGCTCTTGTGTTAAACACACCAAATTGTTCCTTAGATCTTCACCTGAGATATGAGGTTTTTGAGACTTCTGTTTGGGCTTTTTAACAGCAATTTTATTAGGGTTCTGTAAATCCGGCATTCCAGTTGTGTTGTCTTTTTGGATAATCAAAGCATGGTTTTTATTTAAGGATTCCTTTGATGAATCTTTAGATGATGACAAAGTCACACAGTTTTTTTCACCTTTTATTGCTGACCATCTTGATCCACTTCTGGGTTTTGCTAAAATATGTTCATGCTTGACACAGGAATTTTGTGTTGATTTCAGAACATGTCCAGACTGTTTTGTTCTCAATGTATGTTTGAGGATTTTAGCTTTATTATCCATCTGTTAAAACAATAACAGTTTTATCTTTCATAGGATATTAAAGTAAATAAACTATGTACCCTTAGTCTTTTCCTTCCTTCAGGTAGTAAAAGCACATTTTTTTTATCTGTCATATCTAAATATTAAAAGCCAATTCTGTTCTCCGTTACATTAGTAGAAAATCTAGTTCACTAAAGGGAATGACTCCAGATGAATACTAATGTAACTGAAAGGAGGATTTGGCTCCAAAGTGTGCATTACTGTTAATTTTTTAATTTGAATATGAATGTCTAAAGCAACAATATAGAAATTAGTTTTACAGTATGGTCACTTGTACCATACTGTCAGTATTAGAGATAATAATCCCTCTTCTGCATTATGGTTGCTGCTAGCAAAAAATCAGAATAAAATTTGAATAATCTGATTCTGATCAGAAGCACCAATTTAGAATGTATTTGCATTCAACTGTCAGCTTTCAAACCCTTTAATGAACAAAACAGGATAATTTTCCTTTAACCTCTTGGATGCCAGGCATAATCTAGTCTCCTTTCAAATAATGGGCCCTATGATTTCAATATTATGTCATGGGATAGAGTTGTATGAATGTCTTCCGGCTGGGTAAGCATCATAAATGCAAGGGCACTAGACATGTTATAGTCACATTTATCTGATCAGGTATGAAGGGCTCAGGCAGATGTGAGTCCTGGGGAAAAAGACAGTTTTCAGGTAAGTATTCTTTAAAAACACACTTACCCAAGATAAACTACTCTCTTCTGCAAACTGAAGTAAAACCACAGTATTATTTAACAATCTTGTAATTGTATGAAGTCATGTGCATAGTAAAAAAATATTTTTCCTCACCTCCTCCATCCTATCCCATCCCCAAGGCAACCTTGAACTCATAGAAATCAGAACAAGTCATCTCAGGCTGAGCTATTATGGTCGACAGTAAGTGGCAAATTCATCCCTCAAAAGACTCATGTGCAACTCTTACAGATATGAACAGGAGTTTTATGCAAGCATCTGAAGGCACAATTTGTTTCTAAGTAAGGTTTCAGAATGACAAAAGGCAAGGCGGCTATTTCATTACAATGGTTGTTGCTATGTATTAACTGCATAGGAGTTCCTTTGATCCTCTTCTCCACCTCTCTGCTGGAGTTTCCCAGAGATCTCCCTTGATTCTCGCTCTCTCTTTCTACCCCTGTATCTATGTATGTTCTTGGGTGACTTCATCTGCTCCCATGATCTTGCTTAGCATTTCTATGCTGATGATGACTCTCAATTTACTCATGACTTCTCCACCTCTATTCAGGCACACTACTCTTTATCATCTTTTCCTGAAAGTCATGTTGCTTTTCTTCAAATTAAACATAGCTAAAAATGAAACTTCTAAAGCTTGGCTGCTGGAACCATGCATATTTTTCTCCTCTTCTCCCCACACATCAGTATGTTGCCAAACCTTATTTTGTTCTGTACTATATAAATATCTCTCTCTTACATTCATTTTCCCTTCAGCTGTAATATTTGTCTATGCTTTGGTTCTCTCTTGCCTTAACTACTGAAACATCCTCTCCTTTGGCTTCTCCATCTCAAATCTTGCTCCCTTCTAGTTCATACAAAAAGTAAGGATGGCCTTGTGGTTAAGATACTGGAATGAGACTCAAGAAAATCTGGCTTCAGTACCCAGCTCTGAAGCCAGAGTCTGTGTGGCTTCCAACTAATCACTTAATCATCAGAACGTTATCCAATGTAGTTCATTGTACTACTGTCTTTTTTTCAATCTCTCTTCTGAGAATTTAAGTTTTAGGCATATTGCATGCAGAGTATTTTCCAGAGATAGAAAGGTTCAAGTCATATTAATCCTACCTATTTTGTCAGCTACCATGAGTTTTGTCAATGGAACTTCATTCTTTCACAGTTAACATTGACCACAGATATTTAGACACACCAGAAATCACTATTTAAACACATTTTGAAAAGATATTAACTATTGTATTTTTGGTTCTTATCTAAAAATCAAGGAATCATTACTCCACTTACCTTAACTGTGGATTTTGATTTACCCACTGTAAAACAAATAAAACAAAATATACACATGAGAAAAATATTCAATAATCAACAATAATTTCCTTGAAAACCACATCCTGAGAAATTCATGGTCCCACCTAGCCTTAAAATCTATTATTCTATTATGGTTACCTAGTCTCACCTCCTGCCTAATGCAGTCCAAAGAATCTTACTTGTAATTTCTGCATCAAAAACTTGTTAGATGCAGTAAATTTTTAGAAAGATATCCAGTCTTTTTATTTAAATACTTCATCTGAGGTAAAATTCATTACAAACCTAGGTTCCAATGGTTAATAACCCTCTTTCTTAAAAAAATGTGTATGTTATTTCTAGTCTGAATTATCTAGCCTTCAGCTTCTAACCACAGGATCTTATTATACCTTTGTGCTTGTCCACACAAAGAGTTGGTGCGCCACAAGCCATGGAATGAATTTACGGCCCACTAGCTTGCTGTATAGTGACTTGCTGTGTGGACCCTACTACTGCACACTAAAAGTTCCAAAGTGTGCTTTGTCCTTAGTGTGCAGCAGCAGAGTCCACTTAGGGCTTGCCTACCCAGCATGGTAAAGCGCTCTAGGGGGTATGAATTGTAGAGCACCTTAACTGCCCTGCATAGACCCTGCTGGCCCATTCTAAAAAGTACCTAGTTTGTGATAACATAGTTCTGTGCAGGATCTACTGGGGGCAGTTAGAACGCAACACATTAGAGCATTCTACGAATTGCATTCCTCTAGAGCACTTTTTCTGCACCATGTAGACAAGCCCTTAGTATGTGGTAGGCTAGAGTGTTGTATAGTCACATCCTGGCTTGCCACATACTAAGTTGCCCTTTTACTGATTGATTTAAAGAAGCACCTACTATCAGAAATCTCTTTTCTATGTAAATACTTGTAGACTGTAATCAAGTAATCTCTTAACCTTCTCTTGGATAAACTAAACAGATTGATCTTCTTTAGTCTCTTATTATGAAGCATGTTTTCCAGACCTTGAATTATTCTGGTAGCTCTTTTCTGGACCCTTTCCAATTTTTCAACATACTTTTTGAAGTGCTGACACCAGAAATGAATACAACATTCCCGTAATGGTTTCACTAATGCTGTATACAGATGTAATATCATGTCCCCGTTCCTACTTGATATTCCCTTACTTATATATCCACGGATGGTGTTCGTCCTCTTAGCTACAGCATCCCATGTTCAACTGATTATCTACTATTACCCCTACAGTTCTTCTGGGTGTCACGGCATTCCAGGATACAGGCCTCTATCTTGTAAGTGAGACCTACATTCTTTGTTCTTATGACCTTGCATTTGAAAGTCTTTAAAAAATATGTTCAAATGAGTCCATCTTGTCAAGCAACCCAGGGCTGTCTGTATAACTGACCTGTCCCCTTCACTATTTACCGCTCTGGTAATTTTTGTCTCATGTGTATGGCCCTACCAAATTCACGGTCCATTTTGGTCAATTTCAGAGTCATAGGATTTTAAAAATCATAAATTTCATGATTTCAGCTATTTAAATCTGAAATTTCATGGTGTTGTAATTGTAGGGGTCCTGACCTAAAAAGGAGTTGGGAGGGGGTTACAAGGTTATTATGGGTGGGTTGCAGTACTGCTACCCTTACTTCTGCACTGCTGCTGGCTGTTGGAGAGTGGCGGCTGCTGGCAGGGAGCCCTGCTCTGAAGGCAGAGCCACTGCCAGCACCAGCGCAGAAGTAAGGATGGCATGGTATGGTATTGCCATCCTTACTTCTCCGTTTATCTCCTAATATCCTCTGTTTAGGGGCACCATTATCCTGAAATCTAGTCAGTTTAAAAATAATGAATTCAAAGTAGCTTTAGCCAGTATGCCTGACTTTGAATCTCCCTGCCTCTATTTCTGACTCTACAATCTCATTTTCTTTTTCATTTAAATGGCTTATTCTCTCTACTGTTACTGTGTAAAAGACACACACAATAATTTCTTTGAAACTGGGTGTCTTAAGCCACCACAAGATGTTCCTGATTAAAGTCTCACTGCTGTTTGGAAATTTTAGTATTGTATAGGAAACTGAAATTCATAAATGTAACCTGATACAATTTAGCTGAATATCACTGCTGTTTACATCAGTCTCATGAACTTTATAAAAATAGCTTTTCTTGGACAAGATTTCATATTTTATTTTTTAATTTAATGCCAATCCAGCAGCTAAAGGGTAGAGTTCTATCTTGCTTTGTGAGAGCATTCTGGAGTGACTACTGGTTCCAATCCACTGAGGCCCATAAAGGTGGGAAGATTGCCAGATGTAGCATCTACAGTCCAGAAGGAAAAAGAGAAGAGGAGGAAAGCATGCTAAAGTGGTTAACAATGTCTATAGCAGACTGACTGGCATTGATTGGCTCAGAAAGTAATCCCATAAAGTCTTCCCTGGACAAAAATGTCATAAATGCAGAACTTGGAAGATGAAATATGGCTTTAAAGAGAGGGGAAAAGGCAGAGATCTTCAGGCTTCTGTCAGCTATGGGAGATTTTGGGAAAGGGGATTTATACTTAGATATAAATTAGCAGTGTTTTATTCTGAACATCAGATTTAGGGTTTATTTATGAATGACTTGCACAACTTATTGAGTTGATCTGTGCTACTTTCCACTCCACTTATGACATCCTGCATTTATATTTTTTTGACTAATACCTATGCTAGTCAGCAATATGGATAGCTGACCCTTCAAGAAATCAAAATTGTTCCCAGTTGCCTTCTTAACAAAATATGATCATATACTTAGATGCTGGGTTATTACTGTAAAAGCAATGCTTTCCATTCAAGCCATTTAATAATGAACAAATACTGGAAAAGAGATTTTTGCATCTCAGCAGCAAGAATGAGAGGTGGCCTAAATATATTGGTTTTTAAAAGTAAAAATGTTCACAAAGTTTTGTCCTGTGGTTAGTGACTCATTCCAAACCTCAGAGAAAGCTGCAGTGTCTTGCAACTTAGAAGGAACTACGTTTACAAAAAAAGATTTTTTTTACCATGCTCCCTCTGTTTAAATACAGCATTGTAAAGACATGGAAGTATTCCTCAAATCAGGTCAATCTATATATAATGGTCAATTTATCTCTGGATGCACAAGAAGAGCCAAAAGACTGCTGAGAGCTGAGCTGAGAATATCTTAGACTTTACCAATTGATCAATATTTTTGATGATCAAAACCATTATTGTCAGACAGTACATATGGCTGGCAATGCATGATTTATGGAAAGTCAAATACAAACCCATGCCAGTAACATTTTGGTGAATATTAGGACCCATAAATAACAATGTACAGAATATTTCATCAAAACCTTGAATAGTTCTTTCATATCACTATACAAAACATTAATACTTAACCTTTATAACAAGATATGATTAATTTTGTTTATCTTCAAGGAGATTTAAAATGTATGAGACAATTTAACTTAACGATTATACTTAATAAAATCATACCATATGAAGCCAAAATTAGCCTAGGTTTTCCATCCAAAATTTCAGTTTCAAGCTTTAATCCATCTCTGTAAAACAACAACAAAAACAGCTAAACTCTTCTGTACCTGAAATCATCATCAGCAAAGTATGTGAGATTATGGCACAAGGAGAGAGGTGCTCTCAAGATACTTAGCTCATATCACCATTTCATATTCTATGTTTATATTAAATACAAACTTAAGCAATTCCTTCTTATAAATATGCAAATATTGGGAGATAGCCATACTACTCAAGTGCTGGTGCTTTTAAGCCTGTACATCTCAATATATATCTAAGCTGGGCTGACATATTTCAATATACACGTCTACCCCGATATAACGCTGTCCTCGGGAGCCAAAAAATCTTACTGCATTATAGGTGAAACTGCGTTATATTGAACTTGCTTTGATCCACCGGAGTGCGCAGTCGTC